GTACTTTTTAAAGTACATCTTTAAAGCAACACAAAAGTTCCTGATAACGTACTTGAAAAAGTACCTGATAAAGTACCTGATAAAGTACCTGATAAAGTACCTGATGAAGTACCTGATGAAGTACCTGATAAAGTACCTGATGAAGTACCTGATAAAGTACCTGATGAAGTACCTGATAAAGTACCTGATAAAGTACCTGATGAAGTACCTGATAAAGTACTTGATAAAGTACATCTTTAAAGCAACACAAAAGTTCCTGATAACATACTTGATAAAGTACTTGATAAAGTACTTTTTAAAGTACCCAATGAAGTACCTGTTAAATTACCTGATAAAGTACCTGTTTCTGTTTTCATGTTTTCGTTTTATCTCATCTCTTCAGTTTTTGAATATTAGTTATTGATTGTATGTTTAGGTCTTTCTGAGTCGGTTGTCGCAGCAGCCTGTTCGAGAGTGGGCCAGAGAGTCCTTCACCTGGACAGGTGAGCTTTCATCAATTAGTGACCAATTTTTTCTTATTTGATTGAACATTCACATAGTTTATTGCTGATTATTGGAAAGGAATGTGTTGAAGATGACAGCTTCCTGTTTGTGTTTTCAGGAGAAGTTATTACGCCGCCAACTGGGCCAGCTTCACGTTTAACGGGCTGCTCACCTGGATCCAGGAGCAGCAGGTGAGGAGATTCAGAGAGTCAGAGATTCTTTATTGCTGTTCCACAATATGTTCACAGGGTCTCAGTTACATCCAACAATAAAATGTAAAAGAAAAACTGTAACGAGATCTAAGATATGAACAAAGAAAAACATTAATTAAAATATACAATCCAGATTCCAACAAAGTTGGGACACTGAACAAATTGTGAATAAAAACTGAATGTAATGATGTGGAGGTGCCAACATCTAATATTTTATTCAGAATAGAACACAAATCACAGATCAAAGGTTTAAACTGAGAGAATGTTTCATTTTAAGGGAAAAATCTGTTGTTTCCAAATTTCATGGCGTCAACAAATCCCAAAAAAGTTGGGACAAGTCCATTTTTCCCACTGTGTGGCATCCCCCCTTCTTCTTCCAACACTCAACAGACGTCTGGGGACAGAGGAGACCAGTTTCTCCAGTTTAGAAATAGGAATGCTCTCCCATTCATGTCTAATACAGGCCTCTAACTGTTCAATCGTCTTGGGCCTTCTTTGTGGCACCTTCCTCTTTATGATGCACCAAATGTTCTCTATAGGTGAAAGATCTGGACTGCAGGCTGGCCATTTCAGTACCCGGATCCTTCTCCTACGTAGCCATGATGTTGTGATTGCTGCAGAATGTGGTCTGGCATTATCGTGTTGAAAAAATGCAGGGTCTTCCCTGAAAGAGATGACGTCTAGATGGGAGCATATGTTGTTCTAGAACCTGAACATAGTTCTCTGCATTAATGGTGCCTTTCCAGACATGCAAGCTGCCCATGCCACAAGCGCTCATGCAACCCCATACCATCAGTGATGCAGGCTTCTGAACGGAGCGTTGATAACAACTTGGGCTATCCTTGTCCTCTCTGGTCCGGATGACATGGCATCCCAGTGTTCCATAAAGAACTTCAAATTGTGACTCATCTGACCACAGAACAGTCTTCCATTTTGCCACACTCCATTTTAAATGACCCCTGGCCCAGTGCAAACGTCTGAGCTTGTGGAGCTTGCTTAGAAATGGCTTCCTCTTTGCACTGTAGAGTTTCAGCTGGCAACGGCGGATGGCACGGTGGATTGTGTTCACTGACAATGCTTTCTGGAAGTATTCCTGAGCCCATTCTGTTATTTCCTTGACAGTGGCATTCCTGTTTGAGGTGCAGTGACGTTTAAGGGCCCGGAGATCACGAGCATCCAGTAGAGTTTTACGGCCTTGACCCTTACGCACAGCGATTGTTCCAGATTCTCTGAATCTTTTGATGATGTTATGCACGGTTGATGATGATAACTTAAAAGTCTTTGCTATTTTACGCTGGGTAACACCATTCTGGTATTGCTGCACTATCTTTCTGTGCAACAATGGTGGAATTGGTGATCCTCTTACCATCTTGGCTTCTGAGAGACACTGACACTCTGAGAAGCTCTTTTTATACCCAATCATGTTGTCAATTGACCTAATTAGTGTTAATTGGTCTTCCAGCTGTTCGTTATATGCTCAGTTTCCTTTTTCCAGTCACTTATTGCTACTTGTCCCAACTTTTTTGGGATTTGTTGACACTGTGAAATTATGAGTCAACATATTTTTCCTTTAAAATTTTACATTTACTCAGATTAAACTTTTGATCTGTCATCTATGTTATATTATGAATAAAATATTGACATTTGTCATCTCCACATCATTGCATTCAGTTTTTATTCACAATTTGTTTAGTGTCCCAACTTTTTTGGAATCCGGTTTGTACACTAATATAATAACAATAATACTTTATTTATAAAGCCCTTTAAAACAACCACAGCTGCCACAATGTGCTGTACATATAAAATCAAGAACATTTAAACACATAAAAACAGTTGTTAAAACATTAAGATCAATAAAAATAATAAAAACTGTGCAGAGTAAATTCAGTGTGTGCTAAAAGCCAGGGAGTAAAAATGTGTTTTTAAAGAGTTTTAAAACTGGACAGTGAAGGAGCTCGTCTGATGGGAAGAGGGAGATCGTTCCACAGTCTTGGAGCAGCAACAGAAAAAGCTCTGTCCCCTCTGAGCCTCCGCTTAGACCTCGGCACCTCCAGGAGCAGCTGATCAGCTGATCTGAGGCACCGAGCAGGAGAGTATGGGTGAAGCAGCTCAGAGAGAGGATGGAGCAAGACCATTTAAACTTTTAAAAACAAATAAAATAATCTTAAAATGAACTCTAAAATGAACAGGCAGCCAGTGGAGTGAAGCAAGAGTGGGGGTGATGTGCTCCCTCTCATGAACTCCAGTTAGAAGCCGAGCAGCAGCGTTCTGGACCAACAGGAGGCGTCTGAGGGAGGACTGGCTGACTCCAAGGTAAAGAGCGTTGCAGTAATCCAGCTGAGAGGTGACGAAGGCATGGATTACTGTTTCCAGCTGCTGTTTTGTAAGGATGGACTTTACCTTAGCCAGCTGAGGTGATAAAAACTGGTCTGGACCACCGCTCCAATCTGGGACTCTAATTTAAAATCACTGTCCATTTTAAAACCCAAGTTAGAAACAGTTTTCTTTACATGTGGTGCCAGAGGGCCCAGATCCACAGGGCAAGGTTCACAAGAGCCACTAGGACCAAACACCATCACTTCTGTTTCTGTTCACCAAGCACTAACAGCATAAAAACATTACATCGAACAGCAGCACGAACATGAGTCTGAGTGAGCAGATGAGCACGAATGAACACATCAACATGGAACAGATCAGCAGCAACATGAAACAGATCAGCAGCAACATGATGTGATTTTTCACAGTGATTATTCTAGTTAGAGATTCATGAGTCTAACAGCCTCAGGGTAGAAGCTGTTCCTCAGTCTAGTAGTTCTACACTTAATGCTCCTCAACCTCCTTCCTGAGGGGAGTGGGGAAAAAAGTGTGTGTGCTGGGTGAGTGTGGTCCTTCATGATGCAGGTGGCCCTCTTCCTGCATCTGGAGGTGTAGATTTGAGATGCACCGATCCGATACCAACACCGGTATCGGTCCCGATAGTGGAAAAAACTTGTGGATCGAGGATCGGTGACAATGTGACTGATCACGACTGGGCAGATCTATTCACTCCAATTCTACGCTTTGTGCGCTGATGTCACGCGCCAGAGAACTCTCCGCACAGATTGTTTTCAAAATGGAGCGAGCGAAAGGATCAGCCGTCTGGAACTATTTCACACAACCTCAGCCACGTGCAACACGTGCACAGCAAGGGGTGTCACTAAAACTTCCAGCTGTAACACTAACAACTTGATCAAGCATCTCCAGACACTTCACCCAGAGCACGCTGACTTTGTTGAACAGAGTTCAGCACTGTTTTCCTGTATCAGGTCGGTATCGATCGATACTAACACCCAAATATCAATATCGTATTGGGAGTGAAAAAAGTGTATTGGTGCATCTGGAGGTGTAGATGTCTGTGATGGTGCGGAGGCTGACTCCAACAGACGTCTGTGCAGCCTTCACCACTCTCTGCAGAGCTTTTCTTGAGGAGTTTTTCAGGCGAGGAACTTGATTACCAGCCGGTCAAAGCAGATGGTCTCTTGTCCTGAGCTGGTTCTGCTGGAGGTTTCTTCCTGTTAAAGGGAGTTTTTCTTTCCACTGTCTCCACTGTGCTTGCTCAGGATGGGAGACTGCAACGAAGCCAAGATTCATCTTGTCTGCTGGATTCTTAGATAGAGAACTTTACTAACTGGCTTTTATGTGAATGTTCCTGTAAAGTCCCTGAGACAACTTTGTTGTGATTTGGTGCTTTATAAATAAACTGAATTGAATTGAATTGATTATTGATCAGTGGGGTGTGTTTTCACTCACTCACGTGTGTGTGTGTTGGTAGGAGGAGCCTCAGCAAGAGGACGTCAGGGATTGGTCCAGCTTGTTAGAGGAAGGGGAGGAGCTAATACATCTGTCAGATTCAGACTCCTCCTCCATCACAAATGTTCAGGTGTTCTGCTACTGCAGGTGAGCTTCCTGTACCTGCCTGTTTGTTTACGGGTCTTCTTCATGTTTACCTGCTTGTTTGTGCTTTCATGAAGAAGTGATTTATTGATTGGTTGCAGAGTAAACTGTGACCTGCAGCTGACATCATCTAATTGTTGATGACATCATGTTCATTTCTTCTTCAGTGAGGAAGACGAGGAGGAAGCTGCAGCTGCTGAGGCTTTAAACACCACAGAAGAAGAAAAAGCAGCTGATGATGATGCTGTTAAAGAATCCTCAGAAACAGAATCTGCAGGTTGGATTCCTGATGAATCGATCTTTAAATGATCAATAACTGTTATTGATGATGATGATGGAAACCTGTTACAGATTCAAAGGATGAAGAGTCAGCAGGTGCAGAGGGAGAGGAGCAGGTGAGGAAGAGTTCAGTAGTAGTTTTCATCAGGTCTGACCTTCAGACTCTTAACTGTTCTCAACCAATCACAGGCCACCCAGGACCAGGGGGAGGAGCCAGAGGCAGACCGGCCACATACCTCTGGTGCTCTGAGCCAATCAGAGCCGACCAAGAAGAGAGTCAGCTACGCCCAGCTGCTGAAGGAAGGCCGCAGGTTCAACATCGACCTGGTCTCCAAGGTAATAACGAGCAGCTCCAGGTGACTCGATGGTTGGAAGAAACTGACTCAAGCCCCGCCCCTTCTCCTCAGCTCATATTCTCTCACGGCTCATTGGTCGACCTGCTCATCAAATCAAACGTCAGCCGCTACGCCGAGTTCAAGAACGTGACCAGAATACTTACCTATCGCCATGGAAACGTAGAGCAGGTCACTAATACTCACCTGTCTGTCTTGTCTGTCCACGTCTCACCTGTCTGTCTCATCTGTACATGTCTCACCTGTCTGTCTCATCTGTTCATGTCTCACCTGTCTGTCTCATCTGTCCATGTCTCACCTGTCTGTC